CAGTATGGTTTTGGCATACGTTTTGTGCAGAAAGGCTGCTGTTTGTTATCCCAAAAAGTGTATTTAATTTTTTTGTGAGCAAAAACATTTGCATTATTTCAATTATTACTTGTATCAAATACAAAATCTAAAAAGATATGTAAAATGTAAACAAACAAAATGCAAAACACAAAAGGCATGTAAACACTCCAAAAAACTGGAATACAAAAATTCACATACCGGTAATATAAAGATGACTATTTTAAATGAGTGAGCTATGTTAATGAAACACAAAGTTTAAAATAGTTTAAACAAATGTTATATTTTGCACTGCAGCAATGCATACAATTGAGTCCTCAATGGTCCATTGCTCACTAAACACAAAAGCTGCATTAATGTCTAGCTCGCAAACTGGGAGCTGACTGCTCAGAGAAAGACAGGGAGAGGTCAGCAGCTCCTGTGCTGCACACAGAACAGCTGACAGGCCAGAGCAACTTGGGATTTCCGCAAAATAAATCAGAAAACCATCATTCAAAGACATTTATTTAATTCTGACCACTTCAATTGGAGACATGTTTCCTGACTTCCAAACTTTGGCTGACAACCCAGCGAGCGTTTGGCGTCAGGTGCAGGTGGAGTGGCGCTCTGTGCCAGACAAGATGCAGAGCCATGTGCTCTCAGATAAGTGTAATGAATTCATGTAGCCTGTAACTCTGCTCCATGTGTGGCATGGTTTAGAGTAGGAATGGGCGATATAAACTTAATCCACAATAGAGATTTTCCCTCTACTGCAATAGAATGGATTTTTCCAGCTGTACCATGATGGGACGCAGCAGCATAAATGATGTTCAGCGTTTATAGTCCCTGTAGATCAGAAATCGCACTGCCATTTTAATTAATACTGAACCAAACCAGCCTGAACAGAGATTCAAACCGTGCCACCACACATGGACCAGAGTAACAGGCTACAGGAATTAATTATAAACACACCTGTTACCAGAGTGCGTATGGCGCTGCGTCCTGCCTCGCACAGAACGGCGCTCCCCCTGCACGAACGAGAGCTAACAATGCTAACAGTAAATTAGAAAGAGTCAACTCTAAAAATATCTCAAGTTGCTTTTTTCAATTACCACAGATGCTATTGGAGTGAAATGTATTTATCTACTAACAATATCAACTACTGTGTCTGACTCGTCTTGTTATGATTCTAGTCCGAACGAGGAACCAGGGAGGGAATTTTTCTGCAGCACTCCGATTTGACCACAAGATGTCAGTGTTACGTATCCCTCATTAAATTTACAGTCTTTCTCCTGGCATTCAGTTTTAAGTCTGTAAATCTTTCATTTATTCATTTTACCAATTTTGAATTTATTATAATTTAATGTGCACATAAATGGAAGCAAGTGAAAAATTTAAAATTTCAATTTAAAATTTCCACTGTTATGTCAGTGCTAAATAAATATTTCATAGTTTTGTTTTATTGCAATGCCTTGATTATAGTGAAGTTGGAATACATTGTAGCCATAAATGCTATGGTTGACTTTTAGCTTATTGACATGCTAATTGACCATTTTTCTTTCAGTGCTGCAGTTTTCAGCCTTGGTTTTCTCATTTTAGGTTTTTGGTTTCAGCCAAGAATTTTCATGTTGGTGCATCCCTAGAAAATAATACCTAATGTCAAAATTAATAGAACTTACTGGCTGGATGTCAATGAAGGCCTTGCGAACCTCCACGCTGCTGGGTCGGAGGAGTCTCCTTCCAACTTTGTATGGTGCAGTAGGGAGAATCAGTGGGAGCAACAACAAAGCGGCATCTTCCTGTTTGTCTGTAAAATGGAAATGTTTCACATTTCTCAAGGTTACCAAACTTAGAAAATGACAACCATAAAATATGAACTGCAATGATTTTGAGGTCAGAACACACTGGCTGATATCTTTCAAAAACAAAGTTGGAACTATTCAAAAACAGAAAAATGGATGGGTGAAAATCTTATATCGCCCACATCAAGTCAGACAGAAAAAACTGCCTCAGATGTTACCATAAAACCTACTGAATACAACAAGTGATATGTTTGTTAAAACAAGGTGAAGTACTCCCATTGGCAACACAAGATGTTTACCATATATTCAGCTCATCTCCAAAGCTCCAGCAGATAATAAAAATTTGTAAGAAATTGTATACAGCGCATTTACTGTCCTCTAATGCCTGCACACCTAATAGGCTACGTATTGACAATGAGATCAAAATAAAAAATTTAAATGTCTCATTGTACTTATAGAGCCTTTATTTAAGCTAATTTTTCAAAGATTGTTTCATAGTTGTTTTTTTACCGTAAATGACAAGTTGATTGATCTGAAAGAGAAGCAATACACACTGCTTTTTAAGGACTTTCCATTTTTGTCTGAGTTGATGCTAACCTTGCCCTGCAAGATGTATTCTCGCAAGATTTGGAGTTTTCCAAACTCGTGAGAATCCATCTTGGCCTCCTCCAATCCTGACGGCTCAGCATCAGCTCAATGGTAAACGGACTAATCATGTGTCAGCATTGTGCTTTTTGGCAGGCGCATGAGCAGCTGTTTGGGCATGCCGACAAACATGGCAGTGCCGGTGGATGTCAGAGCAGTTACTGGTTTCAGAATGGATATAACCTCCAGCAAAAGGTAGGCCTAGGTAGTCTCATTTATAGCTCCAATACGGCGCTATATTGAATATCTGTTTTAGAAAAACTAGAGACTTAGCTGTGATTGGCTAAAGACAAACCATGGTAGCCAGTGTTCGGACACTTGCTGGTGCTTCCTCCAATCAGCTCAAAGTATTCCAGCAGATGGCCCACCCTCCTTCCTAGGCTTTCTAATGCAGCCTGCGGCGGAGATTCCAGATCGAAATATGGAGACTCGACAGGTGGCGGGGCTACATAGAGAGAGCTGACTGCTGCCAGCTTAAGCTGATGCAACTAGAACAGCAAACCTATAGTCCATGACCTCATCTACTTTCAGTCACTCAGAATTATGAGGTAACTGGAATGCACCATCAGAGCTTCAGCACCTGGATTTTCAAGTTGTGTGCTGCTACTTTCTGGAGAAAAGCTGGCTGGCTATGGCTAACCTTACAATTTCTTTTATATTTCCATCCCATCTTCAAGATGTAGCCCATTATAAGGCGTGTAAAGGCTTTTAAATTGAGGACAAAGTGTGGCTTGTATAATTATTATTTAGCTGCTGAGCTACTTTATATTGGTACTGGAAACAGTTGACCTTGTTCTAACAGATATGTCTTGTTTTATTTGTTCAGTGGGGTTTATGTGAACACCTGAAGCTATTTTAACGAGTCTGTTCTGTCTGAGGCGGTTTAGTAAGAAGAATAAAAAGTGTGTTCTTGAGAAATGTCTTTTTATCTAATGTCTGACATCTGAGGTGTTCTTTCTGAGGTCTTACACATGTATTCTTGAGACCCGAGGATGTCCTAAAATGCACACTGTATAACCGTCCAGAAGGACAATGATCTTGGCAATCCACCAATCAGGCCTGGATGGTAGCATGGTCAGACAGAAGCCACTTCACAGTAAAAGGCTCGTATCAGCGATCCACTTTGAGTTGCTTGAGATAATGGGCTGCACCGCAATGCATGCTACTGGTGCAAATGGCTGAATTAAAAAAATGCACTAGTGTGTTCTGTCCCATATCAGCCTAGCCAAAAATGTTAATAGTAAACTCTTGACTCAAAATAAAAATTAAATAAAGTTGACAATGATTGTGAAATGCAAATACCTGCTGGAAGCGAATCTATGTCGATGAGACGGTTAGCTGCGTCTTCTTTTCTGGCCATGCGGATGATCTTTCGGGAGAACACGTGGCTCCACCTTGCAGTTAATTTCTCTGAGGAGTCTGGGTGTAGCACAGAGAAGTCCTGAGAAATCTTACAATGGGGGGGGGTAAGAGACATATTGTTAAACACAAAAACTGATTTGTGAAATTTACTGTATAAGAAAGCTCACCATGCCTGGAGTGTCAACCAAACGTGGAAACTCGGCCATTATTTCTCTGATTGACATTGTCCCATTGCTTCTAATCCACTGGGCTCGTTGGATAGCGGTCTCCAGCATATACTGGGAAACTTGTGATGGTGGCCAGATATTGTTTTTCAGCCATTCTGTCATCTGGATGGCTCGCTCTGGAGATACAGTAGGTTCTGTTGTAGATTAAAAAAGAAAAAAACATTCTGAATAGTGATGACTGATCATGACCTTTACGATTTAAAAATATGTCAGAATTGTTTCATTTCAGCAAATGCCCTAGAGAAAGAGTGCAACCATTAAGTAGACTGTAATGGCGCTTTTACACTTGGGCCAGCTTGCCCCGCTCCACTCCAGCCGGGTTGTGTTCACATGTTGCCGGTGAGGAATTGGGCCATGAGCGGAGCCAGCAGGTGGCGGGAAAGAATGCAGGTAAACAAAGGCAGGAGCAGCATTGGGGAGAGCGGGGGATATCTCGGAAGGAAACAACGCAGAGGAGGTCGCAATTTATTTGTACGTTGTGCGTGGACTGGCTCTTTTTAAAGAAAAAATCTCCTTGTTTGACATGTGAGGAGACGTCGTTCTGGTAGAGAATCACTGGAAGCCGCTCAGCAGAGCTGGGAGAAGGCAGACAGCACATCGGGTGAGCGCCGGTTACAGTTTCCAGCTGCAATGTGTTTAAATCAGTTAGAAAGAGCGAGAGTGACATCACTATGCAGGGCTTATCAGTTCATAGGTGGGCGTGTTGGCCAGAGTGGAACCAAGGTTTCCTCGGTCCGAAAATGGTGTCCGTTCCGCGCAGCTCTACTCGAGAAAAAGAGTGTGAACGCTCTGAGCGGGGCCGTATCATGCGGAGCCGACGCCAGTGTAAAAGCGCTATAAGATTAAGGCAAGTTGGCTTTACCAGGCAAAACAATCTGGCATTTTTGTGGCGCTTGAGGTGTTGACTTATTCTGGGTGTCGCAGCGTGACCTCTTTCGCACATTGCGGAGACGTTCCTCTAGGAATCCTGTTGCAGGTCTATGTTTCCTTCCTGGGGTGAACCACGCATCCTAAAGTAAAAGCAAAAACACATACACAGCAGGAAAGAATACAAAAATAGCAAATTAGAAAATAAGAAAACCAGCACAAGCCTTTGAATGAGGTAGTGGATTCACTTGAAATTTACAATTTATTTATTGGGAGTATCCACTCTGAGGTTTGTGTTTTAATTATATGTTGGTCACACAGTGATAGGCAAGTCAAATTCGTCTGTAAAGCACACTTTCAGTGATAAGGCAATTCAAGCTGCTTTTGAAGACCTGCGATATTCTATAACAGTGCTTAATATTGCGATATTGATATTACTCACGATAAATGAACAAATACTAAAATATGCAGTGTTGATGTCGTCTGGCGTGTGACGTCTTCTCTGGGTTCAAAGCAAACAAAAACTAATGCATGAATTCCATTACAACATAACATTTTTATAGCAAAAACATGCAGCTGCACCTGCTACTGTATTAGCAGCTGCACCTGCTACTGTATTAGCAGCTGCACCTGCTACTGTATTAGCAGCTGCACCTGCTACTGTATTAGCAGCTGCACCTGCTACTGTATTAGCAGCTGCACATGCTACTGTATTAGCAGCAAAACAACAAACTGCATGCATGCAGTTTCTCAGTGACTTTAAAACATCACCTCCACCATAAAACTTTTTCTGAAGCTCCAAATACAGAAAAACATCCCTTACCAGGGTTTTTAGAATAAATACTTTAAATGTTAAATAATAGTTAACATCACTTAAATGCAACAGCAAAGTCTCTCATTGCTACTGAACATTTTCTCCACTTATGTGGTTATGATATAAGGCTGTTGCTGTAACTGGGAAGTGAACTGTGCTGGGCCAAACTAGGAGAATATTAAGATTTTCTGAGGGAAAGAGAAAAACAATCGTCTACCTTTCAGAAGAGGAACTGGCAAAAAAAAAAAAAAAACTACATGGAAAATATGTGAAAACGTTTGTTTTTAACCCCAAATTGAACAAGTTTACCTAGATCTTAAAAAGCAGCTCAGATGATGAAACTGCAACTATGATTCTGATAACAAGCTAACTAATTGAACTAGCTCCTCTAAGATAACCGGCTAGCAGAGCTTCTGACTGGCAGTTTATGTGCAGCAGCAAATCAACTATCCTGATTAACAAGGTTATAAAAGCTCATAAATGAAAAATCACTTTGATGTGTGGGGGAACTTTTCCAGGCCCTCTTTAGCAGGGTGGGACTGGGAGGAGAGTGCTGTAGCCTTTTAGCTGGAAGCTAACCGGAGCCACCACCCGGTGGAACACTAGCGACATGAAGGTGGGTTGGTTCACCGGCACGTGTCGGAGTCAGCCCGGTAAAAATGATTACGACACCAAGCGGACTCACGTTCACGTTTGAAAGCAGCGCTGATTCCAGAAACCTCAGCACAAAGTGTGTTCGTTGCTCTGAGCCAGAATGACGAACAAGGGAACGGCGCTGCAAACTATGTTCAGCTGTTGCTTTCCAAAAGAGTCTATGTAGGGGGCGGGCGTATTACGTGAACGGACCCATCTGATTGGTCGCATATCAGAAGGGCTACATTTGATTGGTCAAATAATACTTCTGCGTAAAAAACAGAGCTGGTTTACAAAAAGCTGATGTATGACACGGATGGAAATGTTTGAACCAAACATTTATCGCTGTTTTTGCCGTGTTTTGCGATGGGCCTATCACACGTCCTGTTATCGCGATGACGATAATTTTTCGATATATTGTGCAGCCCTAATAGATATTAATATAGATGATGGTAGGACAGTTTGCTGACTTTCATGAGAGTTTTAAATGTCCTTTATTTTTGATAACATAATAATGTCATATGAAACGTTACTTACATAGCCTGTGCCAAGACTGTCCTTTAGACATGGAAACTGCTCCACTACTGATGATGCCAGCAATGCCTTTGATTCCGAGGGTGGACTTCAAAAGAAAATTGACATGTTACTTTATTATACACCCAAAACAAAAGATACTTTTGTACACTTATTATGAAACAGCTTTTTTATTGTTTTCAATCATATTTTGAAAACCATAATTTGTGATTCAACACTCCAAATCCTTTGGAAGAGATGGCCATGGTTTAAAAATCTACATTTGTTCACCAACTTTAAATAACATAAAAAAGAGAAGTCTATTATAAGTTTGAAAAGATGCTCACTTCTCTCCAAAGCACTCAATCAGGTGGGACACAAGTATCCTGACCATGGATCTTCTCTCACTTATAGAAATGTGATGGCTTTCTTCAAGGCTGTGAACTATTGCTCTTCCATCAGGTGTTTTGTTGAGTATCTCACGGATATTCTAATAATATGTGAACAGAGAAAAAGGGTCTAATTAAATCTGCAAAGAAACCTAAACCTTCAATACATCACTGGGAAAGGTTAGAGGAATTTTCTGGAGGGAATGATAAGAATCCATTATTACTTCTGCATGGATAGTAAGACTTACAAATGATGTTCCACCCTGGACAGGAGCCACGTGCTGCAATTTGTCAGCTGGTGCACAAACAGACTCCGTTTGTTTAGGGCTTGAATCCTGGTTAAAAAAAAGCAGGGGAAGACCCTACATAACTACAAAAAAATTGATAAAGCATCTATAATTCTGATTGTAGTTTTAGTTACATGGTTCAAATCATAAAAACAATTATGGTATATTTGTCAAAAACACTCAGGTATATACTTACAAAAGTGATGATGATAAAGCTGATATGCAGCTCCACAGTTATATTGATTTTAATCAAATATTTTAATGATTTGAATGTATTTACATTTATTTGTCACAAAAATGAGGTAGTACCAGGTCAAAGCTCAAGACAGTACTTAAAACCCTTTGGGTTTAAAATAGCCTGTACCTCAGTGAAATGTAGAAGTCACTGCAATTCTCCTTGTAGGATTTCACAGCATGGAGAGGGTGATAGTCAGCAATGGAATCAATGTCCACTGCTTCAATCGCTGAGGTAGGGGAAACATTGAAGGCAAAAAAATGCCTTTCAAAGCCGATTGTTTCCCACTTTTTTAAAATGAGCTTAGTATTCGAACGAAGTACCACAATGCTCTGAATAGTTCCAAACTGAGGCTCGCAGTCATCTGTATGAGACATAAATAATGTCATTCCTGTCCTGTAGCTAGTGCCCTTGTACTTAATCCAAGAAGGCAGATAAACGTCTGTAATAACAGCAACTCCTTCAAACCCAGATTTGACCTTCTCAAAATCCTCTATTGTACCAAGGAGTTTGGTATATCCTGGCCCAACTTCAAACTCATGGCAAAACATCTGGCCTGACAGGAGAGTGTAACACATCATTATTTGATGTCTGTAGGCTTGGGTTTTACAGATATTTCGAAAGTTGCAGGTAACATGACTCACTCTTTTGAAAAACCCATGTTTTGCCTCAAAGCGCATTGACCAGAAGTGAACAACAGGCCCAAGTTTCCGTATGGCTCTGGGATAGTGAAGCATGAAGTGGTGTTTGGGTTTTAGATGTCTGTCTGGGAAGAGCTCTAAATAAAGACAATGGTGCTCCTCAATGATGTGCCCCAAAAAGACTACTGCTCCTTCTGTTAATGAAGGAGAAAAAATAAACTCCATGCAGCTCAACAATAAAAGAAGCAACTCCCAATATTTGTTGTCCTCTGGAATCAAATCCCCTATCATGAGGGGAAGCAGTCTTAGCAGACACCATGTTTGTGAAGCAGATTGCCTAAGTCCAGTATCAGGATTTTTCAAGTCCTGAGGTTTGATGGTTGATGGCTTGTTGTGGACATCACAAAATCCATAGTCAAAGCTTGTCAACCTGTAGTTCAGCTGATCAAGAGTGACAATTTTTTGTTCAATCAATGCATTGAGCACAAGCTTAATTTCATAACCACCAATCCCTTCGAGGATATCATGTATGACATCAGGAGCAACATTGTCAGTCACATGGTAGAACTGCAACTTGTTAAGAGAGCACTCTCTCTTGATGCCAGTTTCAGCTGGTTTGTGTAGAAGCAAGTCTGAGTGGTAGTTAACCTTGTCACGTATTGATGAAGGAGCTTCAACTGTCTGTACCCTCAACACTTCCTTGTGAACTCGACACCACCGACACACGCTATTGCCTGCAAAGCTTTCTGTGTAACCAAGTATTCCATTAAGTCCAAGGTTATCACCACAGACCTGTGCCACTCCAGCCTTAACAATGCCTGAAAAACGTGTGGTTTCAACATGAAAGCCATTCAGTTCCATGTCTTTAATGTCATTCACAATTGGCTCTAAAATTGTGTTCATTCCATATGTTTTTACATCATCAGCTTTGTACACTGCCAACAAGAAGTGAGACTTTAAACTAGACATGTATTCCTGTGGCAAGCATTTCATTGTGAAATAGATAAAACCAAGTTTGTGGACTGATGTTTTTGCGCCAAGTGGATTCACCATCTCACACTCATCACTGTAAAGAACCAATGGAATAGAGAAATCTTTAGAGAAAAGTGGATTAGTTTCAAATATTGTGCCATCTCTGAAATCCTCTAAGGCAGCATTTTCAAGATTTCGCCATTCAAAGATCTTATCTATTGTTCCTGGACTTTCCAGAACAAGCTTCAACATGGGTTTCAAGGGAACATACTGGAAAGTGTCCCGAACTGCAACTTGTTTCACATTTCCTGACTCTCGATCAATTTCTTGTGTAAAGGAAAAGCCAGGGAGTGGTACTGCCTCTGGCTGTATGAAGAACCCAGACTGAGTAAAATATTTCATTTGCTTGTACTCTGATTCAAATCCTTGAAATGGTTCAGCTGCTTTGGTGAACTGCTCCATGAGGTCCTCTGCTTGTGGAGTCTCAGAGTGACCGATCTCTCTTAAAAAAGAGAGTGTTTTTCTCTTTAAGCAACCAACTACATCTCTGATAAGACCTGATGTGTTTTCAACTACATCTCTAATCCCACTGAATGTCTGAGAGGATGTTGCCTTTAACCTAGCTAAGAAGAGTGCAACTCTGTCCTTTATGTTGTCTTCCTCTAGCTCATCCCAATGTTCTGCTGTAGTCTCACAGCATTCCACCTCATTTAGCACACTTAAATGAGGATCTACTGAACTGTCAGGAAGTTCACCTGTGCTACTTTCTTCTGTTTCAATGTCAAACTCAATAGCATGCCCAATTATGTGTCGTCTGAATGATCTTATTTGATCAAAAGTGCGATGGCACCCAACTTGAGCACACTGGAAATAAGTTGAAGTAGAAAGTATATGATGCACCACTCTGAGATGGTTAAAAAAAGCTCTTATGTTATGACCTAAAGACCTATGACATTTAAAGCACACGTACCCCATTCTGCTTTGACCTCTGACACTGGTCATACCTCAAGTAATCTTTTTAAATTATTCTGAATTTTCAGGCGTGGACCCAGGAGAGGTATCAAAGTCGTCAAGCTGTTCGCATCCAAGAGGAAAAGGCTGTCTTTGTCAATCTTTTCAGCTGAAAAAAAGAAGGAAATTTGGATCACTGATCAATAAAACAACAAGCCACACACAGATGTAGGCCTGGGCAATAAAACAGTAACCATATGTACCGCAATGTAACTTTTTCTCAGTAGTAAAATGAGACTCGCAATATAGTTTGTCCATCTTTTTTTTCATAGCCAACTGAATTACACTATTAAAATAAACTATACCAGGACAGATTGGGAGAATTTGCTTTTAGTTTTTAGCTTATTCATTTGATATTGACAAAACGTTCGACAATTTATTCTCCTGTAAAACTTATTGTATCCTGAGATTTATTTTTAGTCAATATTTTGTTTCTAAGTGGAATTGACCAAGCAGTTAGGTCATTTTTTGTTCTCTTTTGAAACTTGAAAGCTTTAGTCCTGACTTTAGTTTATAATATTATGAACCTTTATTATTTTAGTCACCTGAAACAGATGTTATGTTCTCTCAGTACGACTGTCATGTTAAACCTTTGACAGGAAACTAATATTTAAATAAAAAAGCAGCTTCTGATGATTTCACATTTAACTTTTAAGTAACAGCCCATTAAAATTTTACACAGAGTTTTTTGACTTATATTCCAATCTAATCCAATCCAATTTTATTTATAAAGCGCATTCAACATGGCATTACAACCAAATAAGGCGCTGTACACCAAAAATATATATTGTAATATATATATATATATATATATATATATATATATATATATATATATATATATATATATATATATCGACATTGACAGAAAGGAAAAAGATGTATCGTGATATGAAAAATCTTATATCGCCCAGCTTTACACAGATGTAAATATGAGTACTGGTAGTTACAGTTTTTTACTTTAATTACAGAAATACATTTACTTTATCATACCTTCAAAAGCAGGGATGTATTCAGAGAGGTTCCATTCCAGAAGTTTGTCCTTCACAAATTCATCCATCTTTTAGAAAAAACAGAAATCACATTTGGTTGCTGTATTTTTTTAACAGTTAATCACCAATATTACTTGCAGTTAATTAACAATTGAAGTTTACAAAGGATTATACAACAAAGCAGAAGCAGTATTTATCAACAATTAACACTTGAACTGTGCATTTAACGTCATCTGTTTGGTAAGATGCTGCTAAATCAGTAGCCAGTGAGCTCACCTGTCCGTTCCCTGTTTCAATCTGTTGTGTCCTACAAGCTTATTATTTTATAATGTCCCAAACACTTGCTGAAAGTAATTGTTTTCATCTGGTAATATTGCCCACAACACTGGAGAGGAAATCTTCCGCGCTGTTCACAGCCATGCTGCTACTGTTAAACGCTAACAAAATAAAACGTATGCAAGTAGGGAGTAGCATAGATCATCTTTGGGCAGATTATCAAAAATAGAGCGCGTCCAGATCGTTTCAAAAGCTAACACATTATCTCAAGGATTCTGAGGATTGGATGACAATCCTCAGAACTTCCTGACAGTTTTGTGGGAATATCTACAGTTATAAATTAACATCCAACTTTGTTTTGGTACACATCTACATATATTCAAGCTTTAACATACCTTGAGTGAAATAAACCGGGCATTATCATGAAACTCTGGCTCCCATGATTCGGATGGATTATCAAGCAGTTTACCTTTGGCGTACTTCATCAGCTGGAACCTATTAACTTTCACGTTAATGTCCGCCCGTTTATTTGTGCGCTGCTGCACACGACTCTGACTGACACTGATTATATTTTATTTCACCGCTATGTAGCGCGAGCTGTTGTCAACTGAAAGCAGTAGCAGTTTGCGCGTTGCGCCGCCATTTGTTTGCTCCCCACCCCAGGGACAGGGGTTGTGGAGTTGGCGCGCGTGCCGTTATGTAACATGCATATGAACCTGTGAACGTAATCTGCCCGGCAACAGTTACAGTAGCGGGAAAGCTGCGCGCAACCACTTAGATAAGCTATTATTCTCCTGTAGCACTATGCCTATTGGTCTCCTGTCTCATTTCCCCACAGAAATGTATAGTAGAATTGGTACTACCAAAGAAGTAGTGCTGAGCTACACAAGTAGCGGGAGGTATTGCACAGACCGCAGCATAAAGAGCCCCTGCTGCTAGTGGGGATGCTATGCATAGTAAGCCTAACTTCCTGAGCCTCATCATGTCTAACAAACAAAGGGAGGGTGGACAAATAGTAAAACACTGTCTGGAGCAGATAGTTGTGTCACAGATTTTCTGTTCCATTATATCTAATGAAGTAGATTGATGCTAGGAAGCTATAGCTAGCTAGCTACTCGAAGCTATATTCGGTTGAAAATCTCTTGTACACTGTGTGAAACTTGGGGGATGGGGGTGGGGGTGTGTGTGTGTGTGTGTGTGTGTGTGGGGGGGGGGGGGGGGGGGGGGGGTTCCTAAGGCATCTGTTCCTCATGACCTGATGGGAATCAGCCTGTACAGACTTTCCCTCCTGATGCTTTCCTTCATCACTTTAACAGTCAGTGAGTCACTATGATTTTCCTATATTTCACTCACATTTATGGTGGTGGCAATGTTTATGAAACTTCAGAACTGCTGTATTTGATTTCACTTTTGCATCAACAAGAGTTCAGCAGTACTAACAGCAGTCGTGTGAGCACGGGAATAACACAACAGTCTTGTGTTTCGGTTTATCGTCTGTGAAATATACACCTGAAATGATCAAATATATACAGCTACTTACAGATAAATAATTAGGTGCATTTCCTGTGCCCTCAGTGACATTAGGCCCAAGGTGAGATTATTATTAGCATAGCGATTAGAAAATAGAGCCAAAGGAACTGTTTTAACATCAGCACGCCACACCAAGCACTACAGCTTTGTCTGCTGTCTGTACAAATTATTACATTTACCTATTTATTGAATCTGAATTATGACTTCAGTTCAAACCAATATAGGGTCTTGAAATGTATTTTCACTGAGTTACTTTTAGCTACTCAAAACACAAACCTAGAGTTATTAGGCTACTTAATAACAACGCTTCATGATTCTTTGAAATTCTTCTACACTTCTTGTCACGTTTAGGAGCAGGAGGTTAGGACCCAAGATGCAGACCCAGGATGACACGAGGCAGGAATGTTAAATAAAGAAGAATCCTTTATTTAGGATGACAAAATAAAAATCCAAAAGGGGCAGGAGGCAAAAAACCCAATAACAAAATGAAGCAGGGAAAAATCCAAAAGCTCACTTCATGAGCAGAGAACCAGAGACCAGGAGGGAGAGACAACAAACAACGCTGACATAAAACAACAATGGACCGACAAGAACAATGAGACAAGGAGGGCTTATTTAGACAGGGAGGAGCAATTAGGGAAACAGGAAGCAGGTGTGTGGAGTGAGGCTGGAGGAAGGCAGGTGACAACAATTATCTGGATGGGGAAGAGAACCAGAGGAGGGCAGATAAACCTAACACTATATAAAACACAAAACTAAACCTAAAGACTAAGGGAAGGACTCACACAAACACAAACACATACTGACACTCACAAACTCATACACATACAAGAGGCTGTGGCTACAACTTAAGACACACAACAGAGATGCAGACAAAGGACACATGAGGGCGCTAAGAGAACACAAAAGGAGAACCTGGAGTGGGAACTGGAGGAGCTGGGGAACAAAGGGACACAGAACATGACACTTCTATCTCTAATAACCTAGTGAATAACTTCCCTCAGTCCGTTTCTAATTATTCAATCAACTTGCAAAAGCAAAACTTCATGAAGTTATTTAATTTTTTATCTTATTGTTAAAAATCAAATGTTATTGTCCTAAAAATCTTGTCATCTTTCGACTGTAGCATTAAATATTCTTAATAACTAGAAATGTAACATCTATAAAGCATCAAATCAAATAAATCTGACAAATAAGGGAAAAATGTCTGTGTTTATGTCCCCATCTTCACAGATTTAACAATTAGTCTTAGATACATTCAATTGTGGTGAACTGTTTATTTGCGTTTTATACAAACATTTGTCTGACATGTAAAATAGTAACATTTAAAGTTTGGATGTAAGAGGTGAAAATAAAGATTTTAAAAGTTCCAAATCTCCCAGTTGCCCCTCCACCTTCTACAGGTAAAAATTACATCTAGTTATACATTTATAAGTTGGATTTGACTGAAGATTTGTGTTTTTTTATCTGAGATTATTGTTTTTATACTTTTATTAACTGATTCAATTATGTCCTCCCACTAAAACTGACACAACCATTTCTTCAGGTCAAACACCTCCAGATCTTTTTCTGAAGACAGTAGGATAAAGACCAGTGCTGACCACTGAGCAGGAGACAGTGTCTGTAGAGAGACGTCCTGAACTCAGAGACTGTTGGATCTCCTCCACCAGACAAAGATGATTCAGTTCATTCAGAGAGTAGAGCAGGTTGATGCTTGTCTCCGCAGACAGACTCTCATTGAGCTTCTTGTTGATGTGATCAACTGTTTCCTGATTGGATCTGCTTCCTGTCTTCCCCAGCAGGTCTTTTAGGAGAGTCTGATTGGCCGGCCGGGACAGACCAAGGAGAAAGCGTCCAGGTGTCCATTTGGACTCTCAAAGGCCTTGTTCACAGCACTCTGATAGAGATCATTTAGATTTGGACCGCTGAAAAGTTTAGACCACAGAGAATGTTGCTGTTTGTCTTCCATTAGATTGACACCAGAGCTGATGAAGGTCATATCGACATGCAGAGCAGCCAGAAACTCCTGAACACTCAGGTGGATGAAGCAGAAGACCTTTACCTGGTACAGTCCTGTCTCTTCTACAAAGATCTGTGTGAACACTCCTGAGTACACTGAGGCTGCTCTGATATCGATGCCACACTCTGTCAGGTCTGATTCATAGAAGATCAGG